TACATCAATAAATATAATCATTTAAAAATGTATCTATAAAATTACCACCAAAGTTTTAAATGATTTATTTTATTTCAAAAAAGTTATAAGACTCACATTTAAATTAAATAAAGATGTAAATRTTTTTTGTGTCACCCTTTAAATAGTTATAAAATTATGTCTTTTGACAACTATTATGAATATGAAACATATTAATTAAAAATAATAACTATAACTAAATAATAATGAATATAAGTTTTACCTTCTTCATTGAAAGCAGATTTTAATAAAATGGTATCAAAATCTTGAACTTTCATCATCTCTCTAGAAAATCCATTATCCCAAAGATCTAAGTATTTTTTTATAATAGCATCACTGCCTGCATTAGTTAAAAATATAAAAATTGAATTCCTGTAATATTAATAAAGCAATTAAATATGCCTCTTTTAAAAATGTATAATCAATCATTTAACTTTAATATTCATGTACCTATAGATACATTTAAGTAGTCCAATTCTATTGTCTTTTTTGTTMAAAAAAACCTTTTTATTTTAATAATATATTTCTTTTACATTCAAAATGTATCAACATTTATAAAGACAGAAACTCTGTGCAAAATGTACATTCTTTTGATTTATTAAATAGTTAGACAATATCATCAGACCCTAAAACACAATTATTAACTAATAAATTACCTAGAATCAATAGACACATCATTGTTTTCAAGAATTGGTATTAGTACATCTAATATACCCAAAGGTATATAATGGATTTCATCAAAAACAAATAAATTTGTATCGCATGATTTTATAGCGGATTTCACATCAAAACGAAGTTTTTCCTGAAATATTAATTAATATTAAGTACCTATCAACATGTGAGTGTTAAACAAATAATTAAATTTCATCAAAATTACAAAAATGTATTATTAAAAGTAAAAATACAAAGATTATACATTAAATTATGGTGAGATCAAAACAGAAGTGAACATTACTATTCTATATTCTGTTATTTTTATAGATGGGTTTACAATAATCAAAACTTATTATTTTACATTCAAACACACAGAATATACGAGGTGTRGCAATTAAATAACRAGAATTTGTTTCTATCTCCTATAGTGGTAACACTAATACCTTGAAAATTTGTTGACCTTAAGTTCACGAGRTAATACACAAGTCWGCCAAATTTGATAGTGATCGGTGTTATATTTTGTGCTCTCCGATTTTTTAAAGTTAGTAGTGTAGTGTCGTGACGTACAAAAATGTGTGACGTGAAAAACGAGCAACGAATCG